CCTCATTCTCTAGGGGGGAAGAGGGGGGAGGAGGGTTTGGGAGGTTGGGAGATTGGGAGGTTGAGAGGTTGAGATGTGGATGGGGAGGGGTTGCGGGGGTGAGGGAGTGAATAGGTGTGGTGTCGCGCCTAGGACGCGTCTTTCGCTTATTTGACAATAGCAATTGTCTGCCTTGGGAGCGAAAGAGAGGATTTGTTTGGAGCAAATTTAAATATTACGATGAATAAACCTCTAGAAGTGGATACTTGGGTATGAGCGGGGAATGACTCAATGAGGCAATTCCCTGGGGTCAACTTGCGCTGGAGCTTCGTATATGGGATCAATCGGTTCAAATGAACTTTGCGGTTGATTATGTGAACTCTGAATCTCCATATTGTGACGGTAAACGTCTGAATAAGCCCCAGTTGACCCCTCAGCAATCTTGTTGTTGTGAGAATTCACGCGTAAATGCATCCCATGAGCCGTCTGCCTTTGAATCCACCAGAACAAAGTTGCTAGCAATCCGAGGACTAGTATACCTAGAGGTACGCCGATACCAAGACCGAGTTTTGTACCTAGATCCGAATTTTCTGATGCGCTGGGGTTGGATTCGGACTTCGTGTTGCTTGCCTCGGGTGTTGCAATAGGTGAATTAGTCGCGGATACAACAGTGGTGACTGTGACTGGAGAAGTGGTTCCTCCCACGCGCAAAGAGGATGCCAAAGCATCATTGCCAGCTTGGAATGCTGAACCGGTACCGGGGAGAAAGAAAGAGGCGTTACAACAGGAAACTTTGTCATCAAAACCACCTTCGATAGATTAGTACTGTTTGCTTTTGATGACTCAAAGAATGAAAGAGGATGATTTCATACAGCAGTAGTTGAATTCCTTGAGACCTGGTTGGGCGCAGGACCATAGCGGTGTGTGAATCGTGAAGGGCGAGTTTGTTTTAGGATCTATATAATCAAGTTTAAATGATTAAAATTTCGGAGAGAGGGTAACAAACTATTTAAGTACTGTCGTGGGCAATTTGGAGAGCTCCAAGACTAGTTCTATAGTCAGTTCAGTTGTAGTAGTAATCACAAGTATATAAGAAATAGTCAATTTACCTGATCAGTACAGCTTCCACAATATACCCATCCTGATCTCCCTAGACATAGCCCTGAAGTCGAACATGAATCTATAGGATAGCAACAAGCCGAGGCAGCTAAAGTAGTCTGGTTACAAGGTACGTGGCCAACTTCTGCGGCCTTCCCATCTGGATACCAGCAAGTCGATATGGCTTGTGCTGCTTGTGAAGGACTGATATGGTGTTGCACGCGTTAGGAAAACTCGAATATAGCTTATTGTTATATTATGGACTACTAAGGAGAAAAGAAGCTATCTATAGTGTGGGTCTATAATATAATATAGCACGCTACCTAATTTTATATAAGAGTGAATACTAGAATATACTTAATACACCCTCTATTCTATGTTTAATAGCCTTAATAAAAGCTCCTTTTTAGTCTTTATTAGCGACCCCCCTTTACGCTAATTAGCTTAATTTTAATAGCTCTATAAAAGCTTTATACTTATTGTTTTTAAGTATTTTAGTTAGTCTATTAGCTAGTATTTTAAGAGAGTATTAGTCTACTATAATTCTACTATTCTATTACTTATCCTTTCTCTTATAAATTAATATTTATAAATATAGTACTTTATTCTTTAGTATAGTTTTTAGTTCTTAGCGATTTATATAGCTCTTTAATAATTACTATTTAGTTTAATATACCAAGTATCTTATCTATTATATCTAAAAGTAAATAATAAATAGCGAATCTAAATAATCTCTTTTATAGCCTTAGCTAAACTATAAAACTCGGACTTAATCGAGTATAGTATAGATAATTTATATAGTTTACGTTAGCAAAAGCTCTTAATTTTAAGCTCTCAAAGTTAATACTACTATCAATAATCGCTAAGCGCCTTATACTTTATAAATAATAAAGTAGGTACTTTATAGTATATAAATAGTATTTTAAGGGGTTTATAAGAAACTTAGATAATACTAAAATATTATATAAGATATCTACCCTTATTAATATAGTTTAGTAGTTCGCTAAACTAATAATTAATTAATATTAGTTAATATTATCTTTTAAAGCTATCTTTATATTTAGTACTATATTATTTAATTAGCTCGATTTTATAAGAGTAGATATAGCCTTATAATTCTCTATATTAAATTATTTAAGTACTTTATTAATATAGATATCTTAATAAAAATATAACTTCTTAGTAAAGTAATTATATTTAATTTATATGCCTAAGAAGTATTCTACTAAACCTAGGTTTTCTAGTTAAAACTTATTAAATAGATTTAATTTAACTTAATTAAGTTTAGTACCCTTCTTTTCTATAATAAGAAAATCGTTAACGTAGGTATAAATAATAATACTAGTATCTTTGTTTTAATAAATATAGTAGTTAGTAATTAATAGCTTAAAACCTAATTCTTTTAAACTTTAATAAAGTTTATTTTACTGAAGTCTAGGAGACTATTTTAGGTTATATAAGCTCTTATTAAGCTTAGTAATATATCTCTTTAGATTATATTTAATATTATTCTTAGTTTATTCTAGTAGTATTTTATAGTAAATTTCTATATTAATAATACTATTTAAGAAAGCTATAATAATATTTATTTACTTAATCTCTAGATTATCTTAAGCTATAATAGTAAGAACTATCTTCTAGAAGATAGTTTTATATACTCTAGCGAAGGTATAGTAGTAATCTGTACTATATTCCTACTTAAAACCGCGTAGTACCTAGCGAGCTTTATAGTAGAATATATTACCTTTAATATCTTACTTAGTATAAAATATAAACTTTCTAGTAAGTACCTGTTTTCTACTAGGTACGAGATCTCGTTCAACTAGAGTCTACATATTTTTATATACTAAAGAGTCTATTTTAAGGCGTATTACTTATTACTACTCTTTTAAGTTCTTACTATTAAAGACTTCTTTTAAAGTCTATAGATTATTAGAGACTTAAATACCTTTATATTTAATTAACGTAAAAAGTTTTAAAGCAACTACTTTTAAGTATAATTTAGCTTCTTTAAGTAAGAGTTTTAGAACTAAATTTATACTTATACTAGAATTTATAGTATTAGCTTTATAGTTATAGTAAGTATTAATTTGTTAACTAGCTAGTACTATAGGCTAGAGCTTATAAAGTTAGCGAATTAGCTAAGAATTTTATTAAATTTATTATTTCGAATTAGAATTTAACTTAGTTAAACTAGAATCCTAAATACCTTTATTACTAGATTCTAAAGAATTAGTACTAAGGCTAGAAGTAAAATTACTTATATTTTTACTTATATTATTAATTTATAAGGGTTTAGAATTTTTAAGAGTTATATTTAAACTAAGTCTACTATCTCTAACCTTACCCTTAATAAAAGGTCTTAGGTTAGTAGTTAGTTTAGCGTCACGAATCACGTGCTCACGTGATACTTGTCATAATAAGAGGCGCAACCCTCGACAGGCACATCCAGGTTTCTTATAGCAAATAGGGATCGTTTGGAGTAGCTAAGCGATCCAGGGATTTCTCTGTACTGTTATCACGTGACCAGTAGTGGTCGCTTGGTCGCGGCGACCAGCAGCGATCATGGGAATGATGGTTCTATATAGGACTGGCACGTCTGCCATTAGATAGGAGCTTCGTGCTCAACTTAGTTATCAATCTTATCATATTACTTTGATATCTTTTTATAAGTAACGAGTTCACTTCCAAGTGAACAACCCGATAGTCTTCTTCTTATCATAGCATACCAACCAGCGAACACCCAGCCAAGTTTAGTTAGCCAGTTTGAGTATTCGTTACATATTCCTACTTTTAGATACTAATCTTTCTTTATTAAAATAAATATTTAAGGTACGAAATACATAATTATAAGACTAAACTCTTTATATTCTTAAACCCTTATATTTAACTAATATACTCTTATAAGCTCTCGGCTCTAACTTTTTACTTATAACTTAATCTTTCTTTAGAATATAAATAAACGCTTTAAAACTAAGAACTCTAAAATTAGAGATATCTAGCTTATTATCTTAGCTAGGTTTAATCTTATTAAAAAATCTCTTATTAAGTATTTTATTATAAGTAAATATAAGCGCTTAGAGTATTTTAGTCTATAAGAACTTTAGGATTTATTAATCAATATAAGTAGTTCTTAATCTTTTAACTAAAGTACGAATTATATATTCTAAGAGGCTATTTTACTTAGGTAAATAAGATATTATTATCTCTAATTAAGTTCCAAGCTTCCTTATATAGTAGCGAATTTAATTAATAGAGAACTTTTTACTATTATCTAATTACTAATACTTAATAGTATAATTATACTAAGTAAGTATATACTTTTAAAAGTATTTTAAGTAGCTCTAGGCTTCCTTTTGACGCTTTAAAAAAATACTTAGCGCTTTCTTAAGACTTTATCTATAAGTATTATTATATAAAGATGCCCTTTAAATAAGGCTAGTTTTATTAATATAATATTATTATAAATAGCCCCGAAAATATTAGAGACTTAGTAGTTTTATATTTTAGTTTATATTTTATTAGTCTACCTAATTTATATAGAGAATAGATAATTTTCCCTTCTTTAGAAGGTAATAATTTAATAAAATCTATATTTTTTACTAGTTTACTAGTTTTATGATAATTATTAAGTCTAAGTTAGTCGAATCTCTTATACTTGTAACCGTGTGGAGTGAACCACTGCTTGCTGTGATGAATACGGAGTCAAACGGAAACTGCTGTATTGAGCGAACAACTAAGTGAGGAGAGAAGAGAGTTCCAGAGGAATGGAAGCTTAAATACAGGATGCCAGCGGCACGCACGTGCCGTGCTACACGTGACCAGACCCCAGTCCCTCCAACTCCGTAACAATACTAGTCTATAAGTAATAGAACCTTTAACTTTTAAAGACTTATAAGGAATACTTTATTATAAAAGTCTTTATTATTAATACTTATACTTTAATTAGTTATATTATAGATTTTTAAATTCTAATTAGCTAACTTGTTAGTTATAGATATAGAAATAATAGTCTAGTTTATAGAGTTACTCGAATTAAGTAAAATTTTAACTTAACTTCTTATTTAAATATAAGTTTAAATTAGAATAAGATAAGTATTTATTTAAAAGCTTAAGTAAATAAAGATGCTTATTTAATAAAAAGAATATTTTATCTATTTTACTATACTAGAGCTTTATTTTATCTATTATTCCTTTATAATTTAAAAAGAGCTTTCTATTAAAAATATTTACTCTATTATTTAAAATATAAAGATAATTCTTTAATAAAACCTTATAGTATTAATCTTTACTAGGCCCTATATAAATTTATAATTCTATAGTTCTAACTCCTTTAATTTAAGCTATGCTACTAATAGTTTTAATAACTCTAAGATTAGCTTTATAGAAATTGCTTTAGTAATAATATGTATTATAAGATATAAGTTATAGTAATTAGCTTTTATATTGTTTCTAAATCTCTTACCCTAGTGTGACGAAACCGGTATCAAACTGAAGGTATCGAGTTCGAAGGTTGGTATGCGAAGAGAGAAGACAATATATCACGGGTTGTTTACTTGGAAGTAAACTCGTCACTTGTACAAAGTCGTCAAAGTCAAAAGGTATTGATAACTGTGTAAACTAAGTTGAGCACGAAGCTCCTATCTAATGGCAGACGTGCCAGTATTATATAGAACCTCCGTTCTCTGTTCTAAATGTTGCTAGTGTAACGAATACTCAAACTGGCTAACTAAACTTGGCTGGGTGTTCGCTGGTTGGTATGCTATGATAAGAAGAAGACTATCGGGTTGTTCACTTGGAAGTGAACTCGTTACTTGTATCAAAGATGTCAAAC